ATACATCAAAGACAAACCTAGCAGCCTCAAAATAAATAGGGACTTCAATGCTGACATGGCAGTCGATATAATACGTGTGTCAATCCCTAATATACTCACTAAACTTGATTAACACAATTTGCAACTTGGAAGCTAATATAGGAAAGCATATGGAATGAACTACAAAAATGTTAAGGAAAAAAGAACAATTCAATAGAGAAAAACTTTCTCTGAATTTTTATCATTCAAACAAGGATTGTTTTAACCTTGTAAAGAACAAAAAATATACCTTGTTTGATGAAGATAATCAACAAAGAAGATGATAGAAGACATTGAAACCGATGTGAACTTGAAATCTACAAGAGAAAAACATTATTAGTGCCCTGGCCGGCTGGACACTGCAACGCTCAAGTCAGTTCCCATAAAAGAAGAGATAAGATAAGGATGATAAGAATTAAGATGTTGAGTAGTGAATGAAAGCATACATTAACCCATGGGGGTGTAGGTGGATGTATAATAAAGCCTTTCTTGGTGACCAAGCAAATCTAAATGGATATTCCAAAAAATATCCCGAGGGTTATTCTCCTTTGGCAATTCTTGTCATTTCCTCCATGCCATGTGGCACAAAATAGACTTAACTAATTAGATGATGCCACGTAAACTGAGGTGTGCCCTCCTTCATTTGAGTAGTTTTTACCTTTTTCAAGATCTTACAACTTGATTTATAGTAAACATTGTTGGGTGGTCAAGCTACAATTCACTTCCCAAACCAAGCCAAAATTAAATAAATAAAAAACTAATCTAGATAGCATATATTTGAAGGGGAAAAAAACCCCAGAAAAATCTTTGAAAAATCTAGAAATCCCTTAAATATTGATTTGTGATTATGTATCAATTTTAATGAGTAAATAGCAATCTCAATCAAACAATCAAAGACAAAGCAACACAATGATTTAACGTGGAAAAACCACAATTGGAGCGCCTCCAATTGTGATAAAAAAACAACGAGCAAAAGTCACAAAACAATCCACTAAGAAGACATAAAGGAATTACACAATTCTACTCTCAATTACCTAGCGAATTTACGCCCGAATCGAACCGACCTCTATGTGCCTCTTCCAGGCCCGTCTTGACCTTGGAATTGTCTTGCCCAATGTTGAATTCATAACGTCAATGTCGAATCCACGATGATGAGTCACTTCGGAATTCACCAAAGCTTCAGCCCGAATTCCATGGAATCCACCGAAGAACAACACTCTCTTTTGTATTGAACGAAACAAACAATCCTTTGATGTATACTTTTCAAACCAATTTAAACTCAAACAAATATCAAAGAAACTAGCAAAAAAACTCCAGATATAAACCCTAATATCCAATAAGAAGATCTGGAAGCCATAACTCTAAAATCTGACTGAAACACATATTTATAGAAAATCGGGCGGTGAAGGTCGCTTGAGCGAAGGATCTATCGCTCGAGCAAGGAGACTGAAACGTGTGTTTTTCCAAGAGTCTTTGCTCGAGCCACCAAAGTTTAGCTCGAGTGAGAAAAACATCTTCTCAGTATTTTTACAGTTAGTGAAAACTTCTTGGACCAAAGATTCTTCATATCTCTGCAAAGTACAATTCGGGTTGGATTCGTATCTAAAACTCACAGCCTCACTAAAATAAAAGATCAAATAAAATTACAACTGAACGGAGTTTTGTTAAACGGGATTGTCAAGAATAAAAACCTAACAATCTTGAATTAAAATGGATTTATATAGAACTTGAAATTAAGAATTCAAAATTTTCCAATATAGTAAATTTTCCAATTCTGCGAATATGAATTTTTTGGGCCTTACCAGACAGCCTTGAAAAATCAACAAAATTGCCATTTTACCATTAAATAGTCAAACTCTCCATGAAGTTACTATGAATCACAACTGCATCGTTTCCTGCATCACAAACTCGATTTACTTTGATGAAATTATTTACATGACATGTTTGAATTTAATTGCATATTATGTTTTTCTTCAACTCGGATGAGCCAACCATGGTATTCTTTTGAGTGAATTCAATTTTTTGATGGGTAAAAAATATATTTGATGGATATGATATATCTCATAAGTTCTTGGATTGTTTTCAGCTGTGTCTAATGATACATCACCAGATGAGGTAAGGGCTAAAAAATAATTTCACAAAGTTGGTTTTTTACTTCTTGGTTTTTTTTATTATTATTAATTATACTAATTAATCAGTTTCTTTGATTCAGTTCCCAATCACACCCTCTGGTCTGCTTGGAGTTTTGGAGTATTTCAAACAATTTTATGGCAACCCTTCTATTTACAGCCATGAAGACGGTCTCTCTCTCTCTCTCTCTCTCTCCCCTAATTGTTGAAACTCCTAAAACTTGTTTTTGACAGGTCAGCAAACACAGTGGAATTCAACATTACATGACAGTGCAAGAGTGAAATATTTGCATGGTTTCATTGGGAGTTTGCTTGATGCTGTGAGGTATCTGTCTAAACCTTCTTTTGTTTTTATTATTTTATAAACAAAAGTCAATTGTTAGTTGTTAGATTAACCTCTTGGATAAAATATGTAGCATCCGACTCACCTTTTTCTTTGCTAAACCAATGGCTTTTGGCTTATTGGAAACTTTATGAATGGAACAATAAATGAAGAAAACCTAAACGGATAAATAAGAATGTTGAAGACTATGAAAACTATAGTGGTAAAAGAGAAGGGTATATTTGGATGTTGCATTACCAATTGATAGTAAATTGGTGGTAACAATTGATAGGGGGAGTTGGTGTAAATAACCCTTTAAATAATATTGGGTTTCATTTCATTGATATGGTTATTTTGTACTGTTGTTTGTTTTCTTCTTTTAATTTGACAATATGGAAGGAATGGATCAAATGCAAGGGGGTATTTCACATGGTCTTTCTTGGATGTGTATGAGTTATTGGGTGGGTATGGATCATGCTTTGGCTTCTACTATGTAGATTTGGATGACAAAGATTTGAAAAGATACCCTAAACTCTCTGCACATTGGTTCTCCAATTTTTTGAAGGGAAAGAGCTCAATTGAAGTTGAAAACATCTCTGCTCTTTCTCATCAATCTCACTTTTCTCAGTATGTTCTGCTTTGCATCACTCTATGTACGTTTGTTCTTTACTCAACACAATGTTGCTAGTGTGTAATGGACACTTGTGGTAGTGTTCATTGGGTTCTACTCCTATGGAGAAGAGTTTGATATCCTTTATGATAGCTTTCCCTATTATGAGAGTTGTATGTAGCAATTAGTGGTTGGGCTTGGGCTTGGTGATTGATTGTTAAGTTTTGTGATTGTTGACTTTCTAGTTATTGTTGGACTAGTGGTCTATTTGATATAATATTTCTTATTGATTCACAATAAATAAATAAACGGACACTTGTTATCATACTTTGTTTATGATGATTGTCAGATATTCAAAATTATTAGATTTGTTTTGTCATTTATTCATCATTAAACATTAACATCTTTTTATGGTAAATTATATTTTCAATCCCTATAGTTTTACTTAAATTTTACTTCGATCCTTATAGTTTTAAATTGGATAATTTAGTTTATACTTTGAGGTTAGTTTTCAATTTGGTTCTTTCGTTAGAACTAAAAGTCAAAATTAACAATTCTGTGACACTTGTCAGTTTTTCAAGGTATACACATAAAAAAACAATGAAAATTCTAACGGAAAGATCAAATTAAAATTGAATTTAAAGTGTACGAATCAACTATTCAAATTGAAACAATAAGGAACAAAGTGAAATTTAAATCAAATTATAAAGATGAAAAGTGTAATTTGCTCTTCTTTTTATCTCATTGTTGAGTTACAAATGTCTATATTGTACATATATAAGAGTGAAAGAAACAGAACAAAAAACTCCAAATTATTGGTCCGGTTATAAATGAGTTGAGTAAAACCGAGTATTGATTTGTTAAGTTTGACTTATTTAACTTAATAAGTTTTAAAATATGGTTTAAGTTTGTCTTTTTTACATTATGAGTTTGTCTCAAATGAGATTGAGTTGATACTGAGTCTAGCTGGAGTAATTTACTTTTTTATAATAATGCATATAAATTTATCGAACCAAATAGTAATTTGATCAATCTTGATTTAGAAAATTAAAAGAGCATTAAACTGTGTCTAAGTTTGACTTGTTTAGTTAACAAATTGATCTTGAGCAAGTTTGTAAGGAGCTGAGTTCAAGTAATTTGATTTGTTTTGTAAAGCCAGTCTCGAACGAGCTTTTAACAAGCTGAGCTTAAGTACTTTGATTTATTTTACCACCCTAATTACTAAAATTTTTGTTGAATCTCTGCACAAGATTGTAATAGCTCATTTTTTTTGTTTTTTGGGGAAAAATATCAAATAAGTCATTTTCTTTTTAATTTATGAAATTTCAATTGAATCCTATTAATTTTGCGTTGATTGGACCGATCGATGTGTTAAGATAACTTGAATAGAAATTTCATGAGAAATGTTATACTTTTTAGGAATTTTCCCCTTTTTATTTTATTTTTTGATTCAGGGAGGGGGAGAGGAAGAAGGGATTGACCCCAAATCTAATGAGTTGGTTGATCCCAAGGTTTGGTGCTTTTCCACTGCACGAGTACATGTGCTCGTGCACTCTCTCTTCTTGCCTTTTTTGTGTGCCAGTTCAACATAGTTGAACTAGTACTAGACTCATTGAAGGTGGTCGTCAAAGATGAAGGATCAAAAGGAGTTGTTGGCGGTAGTGGCTAGAAGGTGGTATATGGTGATAGTGATGAGCAATGGGTGGTGATCGGAGAGGGTGAGGGAGGAAGAAAGAAATGAAAACTTATTTTCAAACTAAACCAAACCAATAACTATTTTCAAAATAGACATCAAACCAAATCAGACCTAAAAGACTAGGTAAAAAAGAGCTTGTGGCAAACTATTACCAATTGCTTTTTACTAATAGAAAGCATTCCAGGACAGTATAGTAAAACTATCTCATTCAAAATTCTCAAACCGTTTGCTCCAAAGGGAGGGGGGGGAGGAATTTAAAAATTAATGCACGAAACAAGTTTGATTTCATTAAATATTGACAATGGTTGGTATTATATAGCATCACTTACTGCCAGCATGTAAGCTGATTAAATGGGATGTCTATACCATCTTCCATGAAGAATACCTTATATCGTCACTACAGTGCATGAAATTTAATACAAGCAATCTGACTCGTTCTGAGGAAGATTTCCAAAATTGGCAGCAGTGAAATCGAGAGAGACAATTTTGGGAAAAACCAATATGGTTTATCTCATATTCCAGATGAGCGGTTAGCGTACTCCTGAACCAGTGCCCCGAATAGTGAAGGCCTCGCTAGCAAGTGAGATGGTTTGTCAAACTCTTTTGCCCAACCTGTTAAAGAGTGAAATAGGACATCAGCTATGAAACTCATGTATAAAAACAAAAATAAATAAATAAGCCAAAACATAGAGAATATGGAGCTTAAATGCAAAACAAAGAAGTCTCACGAGAATATAAGGTTTCAAAGTTTTTGACCAAAATGACAGAAAAGCACATGGCCATATAAGATCACAAGAGTTAAGTGATTCCCTCCAAAACTAAGGCTACATCCACAGTCATTGTGACTTCACTATGATCAGAAAAATTACAACTGAGTCGAGGAAATAGCTGCCTCCCTCCCCTCAACTATATATACATAGAATTAGGACAACAAGTGCAAGATTTACGCGGTTCACTCCAAAAACTAGGGCTACGTCCAGTCACTCGAGTTTCATTATAATAAAGAAGTTTACAAGAGAGACAGAGAGAGAATTAGGGCAATAGGTCATTAGTGCGATATTACCAAAAATGCCCTTATTCAAAATTTGTGGTTGCCGAGTGGTTGGTGTCTAATACTTATCAAGATCCAATGTATCCAATTAAAAAAGTCGGGGAACGTTGCTCATAGAGCACAAACTAGTAATGAGGTCACAAACACTGAGAACATCCACTTTGTCTTGCTAAGTCACCGATAATTTGCAATCCAAAACTTTTTCATTTGAAGGATGGGGAAAGTAAGGTAAAGAAACACTAACCTGCATCTATAACTAAAACCCTGTCACAGTCCATGACTGTTGGTATTCTGTGAGCAATGCTGATGATTGTACGGGCTGCAAAATCCTCTCGGATGATCTTCTGAATTACAGCATCAGTTTGTGAATCAACAGAAGCTGTTGCCTCATCCATAAACAAAAGCCGGCTGTGCTTTAGCATTACCCTTCCCAAGCAGAGAAGTTGCCTCTGCCCCACACTCCAATTGTCTCCGTTATCAACAACTGAGAAATTTCCAAAAAGACATAAAATGTTTACCTTCATTCACTAAATGGGAAACACCAAGTCAAGCAAGTTTTGGTGCAGCCTAGTGAAGAAGCGATGAAGTATGAATATTACCTGAAGAATCAAGTTTACCAGGCTTTGCAGCAACCACATCTTTAAGTTGACAACGGTCAAGGCTCTATAAAAATTGTTTTTTCATATCAGTGAAATCACAAGAAAAGCTCAAATTGTGTATGCTTTGGTATTGAATTATGAACCAAGAAAATGAAACACAACAGAAGAAGTGATGTTCATGATGCAAACTTTATTCTTTTCCGACCTTCAAAAGCCAAAACTGGTTTATTTTAGGAAATAAGAATGGAAAATGTACCTTCCATATCTCTTCATCTGAATACAGCCCAATTGGATCAATGTTGCTTCTGACAGTTCCTTCAAAAAGGACAGGCTCTTGAGGAATGATCCCAAAGCGAGACCTAAGATCATGAAGCCCTAGCATGGAAATGTCAATGCCATCAATGATTATTCTCCCTCCTGAAGGTTCAACCAGCCTAAAGAAAACCTGGATCAGAGTCGATTTTCCACTCCCTGTTCGACCAACTACACCCATCTTCTCTCCTCCTTGAATATTGAGAGTAATACCTTTAAGAACCAGAGGGGTATTTGGACGATACCTAACCTGTTCACCAAGTGTTCAAGTATGTCTTATCAGAAAGGGTTCCAAAAAATATTAGAACAGAATATTATTGTAGTTCAAGTCATGCTAATAAAGATCCAAAGTTCATTGACGACACACTTGGACATTTTATTTTTAAAAATTCTATTAATTTATAAATCAAGGCAAAGTGGTCTGTCTAAATTTCAGATCATATCATGTAGACATCATAAAGCCTAGTTATCTTGTGAAATTTTTCTCTATTTTTGTGTTGCCTGACACCATGCACGCCTTACCGGAACAATTTAGACACAATATTTGTTATCAAGAATAAATGACTTCAAAAGTAGAAAACAATGTTACAAATTTGAAACAAAATGGGTTTAAGGCAAGTTACCTGCAAATCTTCGAGGTCAACATTGCCGTGGGTAGGCCAATTAGCAGAGGGCAGACAATCTTTTTTTTCCCATTCAGCTTCTGATGGAATATTTGTGAACTGTTTTACCCTCTCAACAGAAACCATTCTATTTTCCACAAAGCAGCTCATATATACAGCCCAAAATAACACGCCATTGAGGGACAAACCATACGAGAGAGTTAATCCAACGTTCTCTGGGCAATACAGTACGTGTCAGTTTCCCACATTTGAGAACCAAGTAACCGTGTAAAAAAGGGGGGAAAACAAAGAAACAACTCATTAACATCGCATATGATCCAATTGTTGTAGAGGACTACCTGGCCTAATGATACTGCTAGGCAACAAGATCAAAAACAATGCAGAAATGCAGAGGACGCAGCTTCCAATGAGTTCCAAACGGAAGCCCAACCACTCGTTGGACCCATTATTGTGAAAATCCATACGTAAATTTGCGTTCACCCTGTTGACATTATCCCGGCAAAATATTTCCTGCTTCCTAAAACAGCGAATTGTCATAACACCAGAAATGCTTTCTGAGAAGTGATGAATGACAGGCGCTTTGGTAATGGAATCAAGTCGAGTTAATTCACGAGATGTTGCAAGGTAGTATCTCTGAAACCAGAAGAAACAGGAATGGGTACAATAAATTCATCTGTAGTTTCATTGCTCATATACATATTTATTAGCTTTTGCTTTTATTCCTGTTAAAACAACAAATATGATTGTTGTGAATCTGCGAGCCATTTTAGGGATCTATTGGAAGTCCACCATGCCAATGTTCAAGATTTCAAATTTGAAGATACCTCCAAGAACTTTCACAATTTGTTCCCACCATGGAACCAATTTCATTTTCTCCGATAGAAAATTTCAGTGCTTAACTAATTTTCCTTAACATATTTTGGAAATAGCTATATTTTCAGTACATGACAAATCATTGAACATTAATTGCTAGTTGTAAAAGAGAGATTATATTGCCAAAAATACAGTGACGTTAAATAAATGCCCATACCCGGAACCAGAAATTCAGCCAAGCAAGTGGAAATAAAAGGAATATTGTTGGCCAAGCATACTGACATGTGATGATGATGATGCCGATCACTGTGATGTACATGGTAACAGTCATGCTTAAAAAGAAGGGAAGAAAGAGGTCAATGTTGGTCTGATCAGTCGAGGCCTACACGATGAAAGATAATACAGTCAATACCCAACAAGAAATAAACCTTTCTATAGTCTAAAACAAATCTAGATGCAAATTTCAGAATATATTCAATTTGGTGTCAGAATTTTTACCCGACTTAAGATTCTTCCAGAAGGCGTAGTGTCAAAGAATGACATAGGAGCATGCAGTATGCTGTACAGAATTTGACTGAAGAATATTTGGGCAGTCTTAAGCCCAAGGAGTGTGACAAAAAAGGCTCTTATCATTATCAACACAATTGAAACTGCTGCAATAATTGCATACACACTAATGAATTGAGATGGGTTGAACGACATAGCACGGTCTTCTGAAGTTTCATATGCCAACCAATAATCACTCGCCATTAGAGAACATTGCCACAATAATGAGACTAGCAACACCGTTACTACACCCCACCAGCCAAAGGCCTCGGTGCAATACTGTTTGTAAACATTTAAGCTGACTTTTCCAGTTTCTCGCTCCTCTTCCTTAATAAGCTTAGAAGTACCCCTATCAGAATTGGATTGTTCTACAGATTTGTCGTCACCATTTGCTTCCCCATGGTTAGAAGATGCTCGGGAAACTTTCGGTGGTTTGGGGGAGTTCTCATTGGGCATGGTAGTTCCCGCTTCTACTAGTTCCATGGAGGTTTCATGAGCAGATACTAGAGCTTGGAAATCCACGCCAGATTGCAGAATATCATTGTACTTTCCAGATTGAACAACTACCCCATCTCGCATGACCTGGTTTAGAAGAAGAAAAAAAAGAGGTCAATATTTCAGGCAAAAATAAAAATAAAAATAAAAATAAAGAAATTTGTGTCGAGATTTGAATAATGAATCATGCTTACCAAGATAAGATCAATATTATGCAAGAAGTCAACTTGGTGAGTTACGAGTAGAATGGTCTTATCTTTGAGGACTCCCCTCACACATTCCTGCCAGACAGGCACGAAGAAAATTTTAAGCTAAGTTTCATCACATGAAAAGTAAACTGTTTTGACATGGTTCAAAATTTCTAATTAACTTCACCAACAATAACTGAAAATCATATGTTTCTCAGTTTGTTTAACAACATTGTGAGAGAAGTAAAGGAATTAAACGAGGGAAAATGATTTTTTCCCCTAATTTTGTCCCCCCTAATCCCCCGAATGCCCAAAACGACGTCATTTTGGGCATTTTTTTTTTTTTTTCTTCTTCTTCTTCTTCTTCATGCAGGTGCAGGTCTGAGACAGAGGGAGAGGGAGAGAAAGAGAAAGAGAAAGAGGGAGAGGGAGAGGGAAAGAAGAGAGGCCGATCATCGCAGCACTCCAGTCCAGTCCGATCGGCGGCCGATCGTTGCAGCTTGTCGACCGTTCATCTCTGCCCAGCCTCCGCCTCCGCCCCCTGCCCAGCCCGATTGACGTTGGCCCCTCCAATCCAATCCTTCTTCTTCTTCTTCTTCCTTCCTTTTTTGAATTCGGGGGATTCGGGGGGGGGCTTTCGAGCTCCATAGCACGACTGTTAAACGAGATACTTAATCAAAATCTAACAGAATTGTTTGCACAAAAAGCACAAAGCGTGTAAAAGTATTGACAAGTGGCAACATTTAATGCATCCAAAATTTACCACACATCAAGGGATTGTTTTTTAAAATGAAACAAAGTGGCATTTAGCCTTAGATTTCATTGTTTTCAAGCAAAATTGTAAGTATTCTGGCTCCTCATGTTAAGAACCAAATTTTGGCAGGACTTCACTTTCAATGATGAACCTATCTCCACAATTTCATATGTATAGAAATGAATAGTGTCATATCAATGAAATGCATAAACTAGCGGGGGAAATTCTAATAAATACAGTAAACATTATTGTCACCTTGAATATTTCAGACCCAGTGTGAGCATCTACAGCACTGAATACATCATCAAGAAGATATATATCACAATCCTGATAAACAGCTCTAGCAAGTTGTATCCGCTGCTTCTGACCGCCACTGAGGTTGATGCCACGCTCTCCAATTTCAGTCTGATCTCCAAACTCCATCATTTCCAAGTCTTTCTCCAAGCAGCAGACCCTAATAACTTCACTATACCTCTCCTTATTCATTGGTGAACAAAACAGGATGTTATCTTGAATGGTCCCATTTTGAATCCATGATGTCTGCGCAACATAGGCAGTGGTGCCACAAACCCTAGCCTGTTAAAGAGTAAAATCAGATATGCTTGTTAAATTATAAAATTAACCAATCAGTACAAAGCAATTAAAGAAAAAATACCCTAAAAAAACATGAAAATTCAGACCTTCCCGGATATTTTGTGCATCTCGCCAAGAATTGCAGCCAGGAGAGAAGACTTCCCTGATCCAACGGTCCCAACAATAGCTGCAAGCTCCCCTTTTTTGATCTCCAAATTTAAATTTTTTACAATTCGTTCCCCCCCTTCGTCATCCCAGCTAAAAGCTCCGTCTTTCACCTCCACTGCAATCCCACCCTCACAAGCTTCCTCTCTCTCCACCGACTCATCAACCAGCTCCTTACTTATCATGTACTTGTCCAACCTCGCCAGAGAGATCATTGCTTGAGATATTGAGATCATAGACTGCGGGAAAGTCCTGATTGGTTCCTGGAGAATCTTAAATAGTGTTGTTGCAGTGAAAACAGTCCCTGCATCGAGTGGAACCCCCAACAAAATTGCAGTACCAAAGGTAAGAGTGGATATAAGTACCGGTGTACTCCATAAAACGATGATATTGCCAGATATTGAGTACATGAACTTGGTTAGCCACCCAAATTCTGATTCGCGAAAAGATTGAATTCGTTTGTTGAAGTGCTCTTCCCATGCCTGGAACTTAATTACGCGCATGTAATTAAGCATCTCATTTGTCGCCTTCATTCTAGAGTCCCGGTTTTTCATCACATTGTGTTGGAACCGGTTGTTCCTTCGAGTGCCCATCAAAACGAACAACATAACCACTACAAGCCCAACTAGAGCTGTAATTGTCGAGGTACCAAGGCAGCGAGACAGAAGTATTAAGGCGACAGAAACTTGCAGTGGCATAAGCCATACAGCATGTAGCTGCAGCATCATATCAGAGAGCTGCTGAGCATCTACAGCCATGTAATTCACAATTTGTCCAACCCCATGAGCCTGTCTAGCCGAACACGACATCCTCATGCCCTTTTTGTACAAAGAAGTAATAAGGGCAGATCGAATGAGCATTCCAAGCTTTTGAGAATTGAAGTTGAATTGGTGAGAGGTCAAAACTTCCACAAATTTAGCAATGAGGAGAGTGAGAACAAGGTAGTATCCTTCATAGGGGGAGCTCCCCTTCCCCGAGGTGAAATCAACAAAACCCTGAATAAGAACAGGCCCAACATACATGACACAAAGACGCACAATTGCAAGGAAGGCAGTGAAAGCGATTTCCCTCCAGAAGCACCGAAGCAGTGTGGTTCGAACAGGGTGCTTCGATTTTTCATGAGGCTTCGGCCAGTTCAATTCGAAGAGTACAGACATTCTTTCAGCTCTATGTTCTGGCGAAAGGGCCGGGATATCATCAGACTTGAGAGGAGATTTATAGCCTTTACTCAGTAAGGGATTCATCCATAGCCAAAAAGCTTTGGAAATGATAGAAGACTTAGCAAAGCCACTCACATTGCATCCATTCAATAGGCGTTCATATAATTCAGGTTCTACATCCATAACTGAATCGGATTCACTCCTCACAGTAATCCCGGTTGATCCTTTTATGGCAACCATAAGGAGTACAATCGATAACAGAAAAGAAATGAATGAAATTATATCATCCAGTCTCAAAACAAAATCAAGTTCTTCTATGGAGATTACACGAATGACCCCGGAAACACTGAACAGAGAAATGATGATGAAATTTGCAACACAATAAATTCGAAGCGGCAAAGGATGAGAAACAGCTTGGAATCTCCTCTCATGGACAATCAATATTGTAATTGTTACATGAGTTATTGCTTGAATCAACCAAAACAGTCCATCAACTAGCTTATCTTCCAACTGGGTATTTCTAACAAATGCCAGAATGCACAAAATTGTGTATGCCAATGCTAATAGAACTGTTACAATCAGAGACAGTTTAAACCACAGACTAGTTTGAAGAACAACAGCTCTGACATTTCTGATGAGAGGCTTGTTTATGTCAGAACCGGCGTGGCGGCCACCGGAGGCAAATTTAGAATAGAGTTTTTGAATTGAAAGCACAATAAGTGCTAGCAAAAACAGGATATCAATAGAAGATAGAAGAGCTCTTTGAGGGCATGGTGAAAGGAAGATGAACCTCAGCCATTGAGATGAGTTAGCTTATCTTCCAATTGGGTATTTCTAACAAATGCCAGAATGCACAAAATTGTGTATGCCAATGCTAATAGAACTGTTACAATCAGAGACAGTTTAAACCACAGAGTAGTTTGAAGAACAACAGCAAAATTGCCTAATGCTCTGTGAAGGGGGAAAAAATAATAAAGAAATATATTAAATATAATTCCATGAAAACTGCAAAATTGTAACAGACTTCCAATCCAATATGATGCTATCAGAATTAACAATACATTTTTTCTTTCAATTTTTTTCCATCAAATAAAGTGTGTACTAAAGATTTAAAACTATTTTCCATCCAAGAACCATTTAAAATACAATTGATAAACATAGAAAACTATTCAAATCTATTTTGCTTTTCAATGGCACTACATGCATCAATTAATATATCAATTAATATATCATCATATGTTATGATATTGTCACTTTAAAATTATAGATCTCACCCATTATACAAATTACAAAGCCTCAAAACTTATAAAATTATGCAACATCAATTGTTTGCCTTTTATTCTTTTATTAACCATTTAAAATATAATTCATCATAAACCAGAAAAGCAATGAAATAAAAAATTTTTAAAAATTAAAAATAAAAACAAAAAAATTAAAAAAAATACTATAAATTATTATAGGGGGATTTTTTTTAAGGTCCCTGATATTAAGAATTTATAGTATAAAGGACACTCAATATTTTCATAATGTCTAAGGTCCTTCAACATCAATCCAGAGAAAATTCGATCCAGAGAAAAAAGGATGACCAAAAAAAAACACAAAACAGAATCAAACAATATACCCTGCTGTTTAATAGACCCTGCTACACATACTTGCATGTAATCCTTGTAAGGAAAAAATAAAAAGAGAAGGCACAATTAACAGAGTTGTGTACTTTGCTAGTGCCTATCTGATAAATACAAAAACACTGCAACACGAAAATGGCTAGGTATTCTACATTAAAAGACGTTTCATCAGAAAAGGCTGACCCACACATCTATCAAATTGATTTGCAGCTTTCTTGCTATCAAGTGATACGGTAAAAGCCAAAAACGATTTTATTATTTACCCAAAAAAAAAAAACGATTTTATTTTTTCTTTATTATTTGTAACTTTTTTTTCCGTTTAGATTGAATGATTTGAAGAGAAAAAAAAAAAAAAATGAGAGATATATATTTTTTTTACTTGTTTAGATAACTTAAGCAGAGAGAAATTGAGAAAAACTCATTTCTCTTATAAACCTCATATTCAATCTTCCCAAAAGTGGAGAGATTGGGAGAAAAAAAAAACCACTATTTTCATACTACTAATTTTGTCCCTATAAAAATAAAAGAAATAAAATGATTAAAAATATAAAAAGGTTATTTTGAAAATATAACATAAAATAATTTCTTTTCTTCTCTCTTAATGAAATCTAACCAAACAAGAATGAGAGAAATCACAATCATTTATTTTCTTTTATTTCTTCCTTATCTAAACAAAAATGAAAGAAATCGCAATCATTTCTTTTCTTTTTTTTTCTCTTATAACTTAATTAATCTTTTATTTTCTTTTCCCTCTTGGGTTCCAAGAATCATCCCAAAAACATACTAATTTTTTTATTTTATTGGGTAAATTACATTTACCTCCCCTGAGGTTTCTGACAAATACAGAGACCACCCCTGTGGTTTGAATAATTACAATAACCTCCACTACTTTACCTGACAATATCAAGATTCCCCCAAGCCGTCAATTTTGTACAAACGACGTTACTTACCTATACAGAATGACCATATTACCCTTTAAATTAAGTGTGAAAAGACGAAAAAACCCTACAAAATATCCCTTTTTACTTTTTGAAACCAGAGTCACCACCCATTAACTTCTGTTTCTTTATTCTCTCACTTTCTTCTCTCTCTCATTCTCTCCCAACCCAACCCAACAGTGCCTATTTTCTTGGTATCTCCGATTCCAACAAGGAGACCATTGACGACGAGATCTTCCTTCTCTATCTTCCTAACAATGAAATCAAACCCCACTCTCTCTCTCCTCTCTCTCTCTCTCTCTCTATCTCTCTCTCTCTCCCTCCTTCCCTCCCAACCCAACCCAACCCAACACCATGGCTCTGCCCATTACGCCACTCCCCTGCATAAGCATCCCCCTCTCTCTCTCTCTCTCTCCTTTCCTCCCAACCCAACAGTGCCTCTTCTCTCTCTTAACTCCCTTTTCAATCCTATCACAACCACCATTCTCCTCCACTACTACTACCTCCCTCGCCACTATCCACCACCGGCAAAAGCGGCGACGACAAGTGGAACAAAGCTTGAGAGTCCGTCTGGCTCCCCGAAGACCTCTCTAGCAACAACTAACTCCTATGGGAGACCGACATCAACTTCTCCGACGATGACAACCCTTCCGCCGCCACTCCTCTCCTCCAACATCGACGCCGAAACGAAGGTCTTCGTCGAGGACACACCACCGCCTCCCTCTATTTCTCCCTCTGCCAACAAGTTTTCCTCAACTCCCTCTCCTCTGCCGTCCATCGCTTACTTTTCTTCTCCTCCTCCTCTTCTTCTTCTAAAATCCTAACCCTAGATCTATAGTTTTTAGAGAGATGGTAGGCAGTGATTGCAGCAATGTTGGGTTGCAATCTGGGTTTATGGCGGTTGGTTACAATCTAGGTCGCGATCGGGAGAAGAATGAGAGGAAGAGAAAGAAGATGAGGAGAGAAGGAAGACGAATGGCTAGAGAAAGAACGGGGGAGAAAGAGAGGAGAAGGCTGGAAGGGGTGGTGGATTCAAAGAGATCCAATTGTTGCACTATAATCCAGTACCTTATTTTCTTTGGCTGATAATGGCTATGGTTTGATTTTGATCTCTATTGTGTTTGATTTTGCACTGATTTTTTTGGGGAGGTGGTGTTGGTGGTGTCTATCCAACTTCTCAACTGAGTAATTGTGGATTAAGGCTTTTTTGGGGGTTGCAGAACTGGTAGAGCTGGGTTTGTAGGGCTTTTGAACTGGGTTTGTGGGGCTTTTGTTCCTCTATGTCTTCTTCATCTCGTATGATCTCGTTTACGGAAGATAGGGTTTGGATTGGGTTTTGTGGAAAATTCTTTAATAGGCATTTTAGTGCATTATGGGCATTATGGGTATTTTAGTGCTTACATTAGATGACATCAGCAAGGTCTGTTAGGTATATAAACGGCTGTCAAAATTTGGGGGAATCTTGATATTTTCAGGTAAAGTAAGAGAGGTTATTGTAATTATTCAAACCACAGGGGTGGTCCCTGTATTTGTCAGAAACCTCAGGGGAGGTAAATGTAATTTACCCTATTTTATTTTTTAGTCAAAAAGTTATTAAAATAAATTATTCCCAAACAAGACCTTATTACAAAAATAATTAACTATTTTTTTACTTTTTTTTATATTTTTTCGTAAAAAACTAAAAACTCAACTTTTTTTTTTTTTTTTGAATTACATGATATGAAAAGATGATTTAAAAAAAAAAAAACTGATAATAAAAAGAAGTAAAACAATAATATAAAAGAAAAAAATAATATATTGTAAAGGAAACTAAGGACATCTCTAATTAAATTTAAAATCGAGTAAAAATAATTTAAAACAGTTTAACCCAAACTTATATCAAATTGAAATTACTCAAATGTATATTCAAATTAGAAGAGATTCAAATATTTACTCAAAAAATTAAGGGTAAATTAACCTCTCTTGAAATTTTAAAAAAAAAATATATATCTATAGATCTTATAATTTTGACATAATTATATTAATCTTTTTTTTAATATGGTTAAATAAATCGAAACTAATATTAATAGTGGATAGACACTAAAATAAATAAAGATAAATGTATAGGCCTCTCTTTGTGAATTAAAATTTAGAGAAAGTCAGTACAAATTTTCAAGAGTAATCAAACCAAACAAATTTAAAAATTGTTTGGTTTGTTTTTCAGAAAAAAATTTTGAAAAAAATTCTCTATAAACAAATTTTCAAAAGTAATCAAACCAAACAAATTTTTTCCAAAAGAAATCTCAAAATTTTGTTTAGTTACCTACTTTCCAAAATCACTGTCTCTCTCATACTCATCGAATCAATCACTTTTTTTAAAATTCTCTTCCCAAAACAATTTTCCAAAACCATTTCTGAAAAAAAAGCAAACCAAACAAGTTTTCATACTTTTTATCTCAAAAACTACTCTACAAATACAAACCAAACACACCCAGTAAAAAGTTAACTTTTAACTTTTTACTAAATTTTTTGACTTTTTTGAAAATTAATTTGAGAAGTTGGTAAAAAATTATTTTTTTACTTTTTTGAATTAATATTTGTTTATAGTGTCACATCACGCTAAAATACTAAAATACCCCACCTAACTTAGAAAATTTACTTCTTTAAAATAATTTTTTGAAAATGTAATATTAATATGGAGGGTAATTACGTAATTTCACAATTTATGTTTTTTATCGCTTCCCAAATGGTTGTTGTTTGCTTTTGTTGCTGCTATTGACTTTTCTTCTGTGCTGCAAAACGCAGCTTCGTACTTTCTTCCCAAATATGGCCACTATTGGGGTGTTTGTTTCAATTTTTTAAAGTTACTTTATGGCTTTTAGTTTTGAAAAAGTTATTTTGGACTGTTTGGTTAAACTTTTTTTCAAACAACTTCTGATTCTAACAGCTTATTTTAACTCAAAAAAATTGATTATGAGAAGCTGTTCACCCCTTACTTCTGATTATCAGCTTCTGCTGTAGACATATTAATTTGTGGTTATACTCTTAGATTTTTTTTATTTTTTATTTTTTTAAAAATAGAAAAAGACCAAATGGACTATAGATTATTATTGTTATTTTTTATGAGAAATGTAGCCAAACAAAAAAATAAAAATTAATTGAAAAAACTATTTTACAGCTTATTTAATAAATACTACTCAGCAACTCAAATCTATAATCTGTTAAGCTATAATCTATAAGTTGTTTTAACTGCTACACCAAACGGGGTCATTATACCAAACGTGTGGAATTACTGTATTTTCTTCCACCCTTTTTTTTAAAAAAAAAAGTTAATTTAATTTACCCAAAATTTAAAATACATTTTCGTGGCTCTCAAATTTACCATTATATCATGAGTGTAATTTTTACTTAAAATACAAATTTCTCCATTGGAGTGTTTCATCTAAAATAAATTTTATTTAAATTTAAGGAATTTTTTTTGGAAAAGGCTTGAGATGGTTTAGGAAACAATTAGCGTGTTCATGCAAACTGGGTTTCTTAAACATTGATAATTACAAAGTACAAGTCAACAATATTTTTTTCCTTAGCTTGATAATCAACTTTTCTAATTAATAAGCAGTAGGAAGAAAAGGGGCACCAAATAGTTTAGCACAAAGTATCATAATAAAATAAAACCCAATACCAGGAATTCTAAAGAAAACTACTAAAAATTCTACACAACATATGAGATCCACACGTTAGTATTACGTAAAATTTTTGATAAATTTTTTTTAAGTCACTAGTTTTTTTATAAAATAAATCATAAACAAGTTGCAACCCTTCAAAGTAGAGATGAAATGACACAAATTAATAAATAAATAAATTGAGTTTTTTTACTTTTTCATGAAGTTATTACAAAATTTATTTCTCACGGACAAGTGTGTTTTTTTAAATCCAAGTTATATGTAAAAGTCAATGCACGGTTTCAGGCTTCAGCTTCAGAAAATTATTTTAAAATAACATGAATTTTTAGTGAAAAAAAATCGAAGAAAATTAGATATAAAAAAAATTTAAAAATAAATAAATAAATAACTGGAGATAAAATTTGGCCGTGTTTGGTTTAGTTTTAAAATTTTGTTTGACATTTTTTTGGGGTAAAAAACTAAAAATTAGTTTGGTGAAAGAAATTTAAAAAATCAAAATCACTTATAATTATTATATGATTTTATCTTTTGATAGAACATAAAAAAAAATTAAATATATTTTGATAATTATTTTTATCAAATTAATTTCTTTTTTTTATTCTGAAAAAAAAATCTGAATGTCAAATAGACGAAGCAGCAAAGCCAGAAAGAAAGAGAAATGAGAGAGAGAGAGAGAGAGAGAGAGAGAGAGAGAGAGAGAGGAAACTGACCGGAGTGCGTGAAGAGTGAAGACGACGTAGAACACAGAGAAAGTAGAGTCCAATACTGGTTTCAAACATTCATCAGACTACTACACTAGTGGACCAAAATCAACCATCTTCACGAAGTTGTGGAGAGAGAGAGAGAGAGAGAGAGAGAGACGAGAGAGATGTATAATAAAATGTGTGAGGTTGGTTAATATTCAAAGTTCACGTTTAATAGTAGGGGGAATAAATTTAGAGCAGATAAAAAAAATACAAAAATATGAAAGGTGTAAATAATTTTGTGATGAAGTATAATAAAAAGTTATGAAGATGCAAGTCTCATTTATACCCTGGTTAATATTCAAAGGGGTGTTTTGGGAAGTTACAAAAAATTAATTTTTTGATTTTTTTTTTGTGACTTTTTTAAAAAAACTTTGTAAAAAATCAAAAAAATTAACTTTTTACGAAATTTTCAAATTATCTCAAAGTTCACATTTAGTAGGGGTAGAAATAACTGTGGAGCAAATTAAAAAGAAATTACAAAAATATGAAGAGCGTAAATAATTTTGTGATGGAATATAATTAAAAAATTATGAAGATGTAAGTCTCGTTTATATCCTTTCATATTTGTTGTGTAATTTTTTTTATTATTTTGTTTTTTTTTCTGTCCAACGCGTAGTAGAATCCATGGAAGAATCAAAAACAGTCTCCTGAGGGAGAGAGAGACTTTGACCGCTTGTAAATTATGAGCGCGTTTTCACGGCTCTGATTTTTTTGTGGAATATAAAAAATTGAAAAATGTTAGACGCTTTATCAAATATGTCACGTGGGGACGCGTGGATCTCGCATTTTTTGTGTGATTTATATATATATTTAATAAAATATTTAATATTTTTAATATTATTCTAAAAATTTAGTCAATAAGTTAAAATTATTTGCTTTTTTATATTATATATATATATATTATTTTGTTACAATTAAAAAATTAGTTTTTTTTTTACTTTTTTAATAATTTTTTTTAAAATTATGAAAGTGATTTTTGTTTGACAGAAAATGAATTATTATATAATTTAAACAAAAATATTGTTAGATCTTTCCAGCTCAAAGTCTTAATGTAAATTTCTCAAATAATTAAATTTATGAATTATGAAAATACACAAGTCTTGAATGTATTGGATTTGATCAATATAATAATAATATATTTAAACATTTACGCTTAATTCTTGTGAAACATTTTATATGAAAATCAAGTCAAACTTTTTAATGTTTCAAAATTTCAAAATCATATTATTTATTGATCAATAGGGTAATATTCCCTAAAATCATAATGCTTTTTTAAAAAATAATTTATGAAATGATAAAATTTAATAATATTATATTATAATATTATGAACTTTTTAGTTATATTATTAGTTCTTTCTTATTTATTATTA